CAATCTGGAAGAAGAGAAGCAAAAGTCAATACCATTTAAAGAAAAAAAAACAACAGAATCAATATATTGATCTCAAAGACAGGATGCATAGGGACGATTTAAGGATTATAAGTCTTCTGGAAAAAACAGCAGTTCAAAAAACCTGAACATGATAATGCAAGAAATAATATTTTAAAAGCTGCCCAGCTCTGAATACAGAAAGCAGAGAACCAATCAAAAGAATTCACAGATCACCACAAGAGAAAAACCCTATATTGCAAACTCCAAGACACATAGTGGTTAAATCTGGGGGAGATAGGGACCTCACAATGGATATATTCTGCAGGGCTCTCAGAGATCACTCGTACTACCTCAGAAAAAGGGGAATAGGAGCCTCTGAGGGCAATTGACACCCAGAGGAGTTGGAAGGCATAGACCCAGAGAGATTTCATGGCAAGTGGAGAACAGAATGACCAGGGGAGGGTAAGGTTAACAATGAACTGTGTGATCAAAATTCCTACCATGGGGCAATATGTTCTCCATCACCTTCAGGAATGAGTACTGCTAAGAGTGAAGCACAAGAGGAAAAAGGAGCAGGATCCAAGGCAATAACTAAGAAACAAAGACGCACACTAGGTGCTTTGGGAGCCCTAGCTCCATGCGATATACCGAGACTGAAGAAGGCCGTGAATCAAAGAGAGGTCTGGGATGTTCAGAAACGGAAGATTAAATAATGACGAGAATGAGGGAAAGAAATCCTTCTAGAAAAAGGCACAGAGGGGCAGCTAGGTGGGGCAGTGGATACAGCACTGGCACTGGATTCAGGAGGACCTGAGTTCAAATCCAGTCTCAGACACATAACACTTACTAGCTATATGACCCTGGGCAAGTAACCCCAATTGCCTCACCAAAAAAAAAAAAGAAAAGAAAAAGGCACAGAGAATGACCTTTTAATAATTAATGAATAAAACAAGTTGATGTGAAGAAGAGGAGGAGGGATTTAATTAATCAAGAAGGGGAAAAGAGGGGAAGAATTAAATAAGATCAAAGGAAGAAAATGAACAATAACAATAGTGCGCGTTTATGTAGCCCTTCGAGGTTTTCAAAGCGCTTTACAAAGGTTCTGTCACTTGAGCTTCACAACAAGGCAGGTGCTGTTGTGATTCTCATTTTTAAAATGGAAAGTGAGGCCCAGAGAGGTTAAGTGACTTGCCCAGAATCTCATTAACTCCTAAGCGTGTGAGGCTGGTTTTGCAGGGAGGGCTTCTTGACTCCAGAGCCAGTGCTCTACCAATCCTGTCACCTAGCTTAATAAGTTAAACAACCCTTGGCCAATGGGAAGAAATGGGGAAGAAAGGCTAAAAGGTAAAAGAGAACCAATGGGAACATGGTGGCCCTAAAATAGGTCAAGCTAAAGTAACTGAAGAGAGAAGTACTGTATTTATAGAGGAAGAGGGGATAGAAATCCTAATTTGGAAAAAAAAAATTAGAGACAAATGGAGGAAATATATAAACCTAACTTCCATAACCTAAAACCTGAATGGATTAAACAATCCAGTACAACTAAAAAGAGTAAGAGATTGGATTTGAAAATCAAATTTCCGAATCTGTTGCTTACAAGAAATGCACTTAAAAAAAAAAACAAACAAAAAGACACACAGAATAAAAGTGAGCCGCTGGGAAAAAAAATAAGTTTACTATGCATCAGGTGAACGCAGAAATTTAAATCATGCTACCACACATCACCAAGCCAGGAGCCCGTACACCACAGAGAAGTGGGGCCATCTACGCTTAAGAAAGATATCGGTCACTGTATACATATCCCCTTTTCATGACATTCCTCTGAATGCTGAATCTTAAGAGGAAAATGGCATTCCTGCAAAGAAAGCTTAAACTAATGAGCATGAGACAGTGTTTAATACGGTAGCGGAAGTACCTTGGGACAGCTAGGCAGCACTGGGCCTTGAGTCAGGAAGACCAGAGTTCAAATCCAGCCTCAGATAACTTACTAGCTGTGTGGCCCTGGGTAAGTCACTGAATCCAGTTTGCCTCAGTTTCCTCACTTGTAAAATGAGCTGGAGAAGGAAATGGCAAACCACTCCAATATCTCTGCCAAGGAAACCCCAAACGAGGTCACAGAGTCAGAAATGTGCGAATGACAACAAAGGAGTGACCCCAGATTCTCAAGTTCTTACTCACTAATCTCACTCAATAGTAATTAGCCAGTTGAAATCAATGAGCTTTTAGAAAAGACTAATTACTAAGAAGTCCAGCAGCACATTCTCCCCTCTGAGGATAGTGGGCTCAGAACGTTCCCCATCTAACCCCGTGGGGAGGGAGGGCACATTCCCTGACCCTAAGAACCCTTCTCTCCTTTCTCAGAGTGCCCACCTAGCTCCCTTCTGGGTGCTGTGTAGCCGAGAGATGAGTTGGTTCCTGGCTCCTTCCAGTTTACCCCCCCCCCCCCCCGGGCTCATCAAGTGGGTCGTTCTGGGGGTGTGCTGGCCCCCCGTCTTACTCAGCTCCCGTCCTCACCAGGTTTGGGTTGGGCTCTGCTTGCTGGTGAAACCTTGGGGGCTTTTCTGGTCTCACCAGTTGCAAAGGCCCTCCAATCTCGGGGTCCTCGTGCCCCCCCAGCAAAGCTGGAAATCCAACCCGAGCTAAGCCGTATCAGTCAGTCCTCCACGTCCTAACTCGTCGCAGCTGTCAATCCTCCCGGCTCCAAAGCCAGTTACACAGCTGCCACCCAGCGCTGGAAGCGCCCCAAAGCGCCCCGACGCGCAGGGACGGAACCGGCCCTCGGACAGCGAACGAAGCCGCGGGCAGTCTCCCCTGCCCTGCGGCTCAGGGCAGATACCCCCCGGGGCCCCCGCCCAGCTCCCCCCCCCCCCCCCCCACCCCCGGCGCATCCCCCCCTCCCGCTTGCCACAGAGGCTGCTGATTGGCTGAGCGCTGAAAAGTTACCAGGAGCAAGGTTTACCCTGGGGAGCCGGAGCGCTCGGAGCTCAGCGACCCCCCGGGGTGCGCACCCCCTCCCAAGACGTGTCAGGCCTCTCACGGGAACGCCCCAAGAGACAGTTACGGACACACAAACGTGAAGAGATAACGGGAGGCAGCGGCAGACACACACAACGCGCAAACACGCAGAAAAGGCTCAGAACCAGACCCACTTACACACACACACACACACACACACACACACACACACACACGCAGAGAAACAACACAAACACAGACACATAATTGCACCCCCCCAAAAAGGCAGTCCCGTGCTAGCTCAAGGACTAGGGTTCCCCTCTTTTTCCTTATCCTCCCCTCCCCTCCCCTCAGCACAGTGCCCGGTATACAGTAGGGGCTTAATTAGTGTGTTGACCCTTCCTTTCCCTCTCTTCATTCCTCTTCAGGTCTAGGAGTCAGCCTATGACGTCATACACACGCTGGGCTTCACCTTTCTCCAAGCCCTGACGGGACTGTCAAAGCGCCTGCGCATCTCCAGCTCCTCCCCCCCTTCCACGTTCCTCCCTCCTTCTCGCCCCCGTCCCGCCCCTTGGCCCAGTTGGAGCCCGCTGGACTCCATTTCCCACAATCCATAGCGACCTCTTCATTCCTTGGAGAACCGTGGAGGCGCCGCGAAGGCCTCTGGGTAGCGGAGTCCGAGTGCTCCGCGAGCGCAGGCGTAGTGGGAACCCGGCCCGGGCCCAGAGGGAGGGAGGGAGCGAAGGAAGGAAGCGGCCTTTGTCCTGTTCCGGACGCCGCGAGCGCGGCCGGGGGGTGAGTCGTCCCCGGGGGATCTCAGGGGGAGGGGATGTAGCGGGGGAGAGAGAGGCCGAGGGAAGCCGGGGGGAGGGGGACCTCAGGGGGCGGGGGACGGGAGCAAAGGAGGCCGGGCCCAGGGGGCGGGGATTGGGCGGAGGTGGGGAGGGGCGGGGCCAAGGGGCCTCTGGCTAGGGAGGGAGGCGAGGAGCCGGGCAGGGTCCGCCCCCTTCGTGGGGGCGGGGCGAAGTAAGACAAGCCCCCCCCCCCCCACCGCCATCCAGGTGCTGTCTGTGAAACTGACCAGCCCGTCAGTTACCTCCCAGTCAGTTTCAGTCTTTCATTGAAAGAACTTCCTCAGGGGTTCCCGGGCTCCCGGGCTCCCGGGCCACGCTGGCCCAGGAGCCAGAGGACCCGGGTGCGAATCTCGACCGTGCCACTGACCAACCGCTGGGGACCCCTCTCTGGGACTCAGTTTGCTTCTCTGCGCCATGAGGGGGTTGGACTAGTCCTTTCCAGTTCTTAGTCCATGGTCTAGGGGTGTGTGTGCACGTGTGAAGGTTTAGGTCTATCTGTGTCCGAGCTTAGTGACAGGGAGGTGAGTCTCACTACGGGAACTTGAGCAAGTCTCTTCTGGGCTTCATGCCTCAGTTTCCCCATCTGCCAAATCAGGGATTTGGAATCGGTGATCTCTGAGGCTCCATCCAGTTCTCAGGACCTGTGATTCCGTAGATGTGTTTTTGAAGTACGTGGAAGTGCAAACAGCAGCTCAGTCAGCAGCTGAGAGCCACCTTCCTCATCTGTAGAATGGGGGTATAATCTCTGAACCACCAACCTCACATGGTTGGGGTGAGGAAGGTGCTTCATAAACCTCGACATCTGTAGAAATGGGAGCTCCCGTTATCCACAGAGGAATACCGAGGCTGAGAGACAGAGAGGGCCACACTGGATAACCCGGGCCTTGTGACTCCCAGCCCTGTGCCTGCTGGCCGGAGCCCTGTTAACCAGGTCAAAAGAAGGGCCCATCTCAGGGGCCTGCCCACCCTGGCCTCTTCCACTCTCTCTGCTCTGCCATACAGAGAAGACGTTTTCTCTGTTTCTTGGCCTCCCACTGGCCTTCCTGCCTCTTCCAACGGCAGCCTTGAGGAAGGTGCAGGAGCTGGGCCTGGAGATCCAGAGGTCAGCCGTGAGGAGCAGCTGGGACCCACCCCGGGTCGATCATAGGCCCGAGAGCCGGGAGGGCCCTTAGAACATTGCGTAGGCCAGCCCACACTTTGGACAGTGGAGTTTGGAATCTCCAGAGCCAGGCTTCTTCTGTGACCCAAGCTTCGCCTCCTCCCTAGGGCCCCAGAGCCCGCACCAGAGCCGCAGGCCACCTGGGGAGGCCAAGACAGGACCACTGAGAGAAGTAACCATGGAAGACAGCCGGGCTCAAGTGCTGGGGGAAAGAGGTGAGAGTGGCTGGCTGGCCAGGCAGGGGGAGGCTTCCTGCCCTAGGAGATCAGGGTCCTGTTTCCTGGGAGCTCGGGAACCCTCGCGGTAGCAGCCTCCAGAATGGGTCCGTTGTTCACAGCCTGGCCTGCGGGGCCGCGGGAGACAGGGCCAGCCGACAATAGTGTCTACCTGGCCTCGAGCAGGGAAGGCCTGCTTCCAGTGCCACTCTTGTGGGGCCGATGCAGGGCTGGCCAATGACAGGCCCAGAGAAGGGGAGTTTTCAAAGTCAGGTCGCCTTTAGGGAGGGGCCCCAAGGGATCCTTTTCTGTGCAAGCATCTGACTGAGGATTTGATGTAAGGGGGATGCATCCTCAGATGGAGTGGGCACACGAGGAGGGCTGGGGGTTCCCTGATCGTTAGAAGTCTAGATTTGAAGCTTAGGATCCATCTGGTCCGCCCCCCCCCCCCCCCATTTTACAGATGAGGAAACTGTGGCAGACAGAGGTAAAGTGACTTGTCCAGGGTCACAGAGCTTGTGAGGCCCAAGGGGATTTGAACCCTGCTCTAACGGTCTGTCCACCACACCGCCCTGCTCTCTCACGGGTGGGATGACCACTTTTCAAGGTAGTGTGGTATCGTGGGAAGGGCCTTGGGACTTGGAGTACAAATCTAGCCTCAGGCGTTTCCAAGCTGTGGGACCCTTGGAAAGTCCCTCATCTCCCTGAGCCTCAGTTTCCTTATCCGTCCAATGAGGCTAATAATTGCACCTCCCTTCTAGGGCCATTGTGAAGATCAGGTGAGTTACTCAGACATTAAAGCAAAGGCAGCTGGTGGCCTAGTGGCTGGAGTACTAGACTGGGAGTCAGGAAGGCCTGTGTTCAGATATGACCTCAGACACTTGCTAGTTGTGTGACCCTGGGCGAATCTCTTTACCGCTGTTTGCCTTAGTTTCCTCATCTATAAAATGGGGATAATAATAGCAGTTATGGACCAGGATCAATGAAGTCATGTTTGAAAAGCACTTTGCCACCCTTTGGGCTCTCCCTGAGTGCTCAGCCTGTTAGCAAACGCGGCCGTTCCTCGTGGCCGTTCCTCGCATCCCATTTGAAGGTGGCTGCCTGGGAGGCGAGCCTCCTTCCCTCCCCTGGAGCCTGGAAAGGCTGGACTTGGGGGCCCCTGGGGGCTCTTTGCAGCTCTGAGGTTCTAGGTTTGGGTTGGCCTCCCTCCTGAGCCTGAGGAGCTTGGGGCTTCCTTTGCCGGCCTATTGGCCCATGTAGTGGGTGTTTGATTGATTCTCCTCACCTGGGCCCTCATGCCCAGGCTGGGCAGCCTCTTGTCTGATCCCAGGTCTGGACGTTCTGTTATTCTCCATGGTGCCAACGGATGGCTGGCTGAGGAAGCCGAGAGGTGGACCCACCCACCCTCTTCCATCTTCTCCTGTCTTCCCTCTCCAGCTCCGTTCTGCATCAGCTCTCTGCCAACGACTCTGGATCCCCAGGTGGAGAGGAGAGAGCCCTGGGCCAGAAGGTGGGGGAGCTGGGCTCTCCCCCTGACTCACTGTGTGACCTTGGGGAAGTCACTTCCCCTCTGTGCACCCCAGCATTCCTGCCTTAAAAGTGGCCATAATGCGGGAGAAGTGGAGAGCATCAAGGAAGGGGGTGTGACCCCAGAGGAATCTGGAGTCCAGGTTCTAGGGGACAAGGGTAAGTATGAGCGGTGGCCAGCTGGAGGTGCAGGGTGGGGGAGGGGAGGACTTCTGGACCCAGGGGGTGGTGGGCTTAGGGGCTCACACATGCATGCACACGCACACCCTGCCATAACCTGCCATCTCTTCCATCCAGCTCCTTTCTCTACAGGATCTGAGGATGGTTCTCCAATGATCACGTCTGCATCAGGGGCGCCCCAGACGTTGAGGAAAGAGACCCGGGATCTACCCGTGCTTCACTGTACGACCTTGGGTAGGTTCCCCCCCCCCCCCCCGGCCCCCCCTTTCCTCTTCTGCAAACAATTACAAAGGACGATAAATGGATTGGATGATCTAATGTCTCTCCCTGTCTGTTTCTGAGGCCAGCTTTTCTTTCCATTCAGGGACCATCTCTGTGTTTCTTTTCATTTCTCTCTGTCTCTGACTCATCATGTGAGAGACCATCTCTGTGCACAGCCCTTTGTGCTCATTCACTCGCTCTTTCTCTCCCCCTCCCTTCTCCCTCCTTCCTCTCTGTCTCTTTCCTCTCCCTCCCTCTCTTTCCTTCCCTCTTTCCCTTTCTCTCTCTCTTCTCTTCTCTCTTTCTCTCTCTTCCCCTCTCCCTTTCTCTCTCTTTCCCTCCCTCTTTTCCCCTTCTCTCTCTCTGTGTATCTCTCTCTTCTCTTCTCTCTGTTTCTCTTCCCCTCCTCTCTCTCTCTGTGTATCTCTCTTTGCCTCTCTCTCTCTTCTCTTCTCTTTCTGTCTCTCTTCCTCTCCCTCTTTCCCTTTCTCTCTCTCTCTTCTCTTCTCTCTTTGTCTCTCTTCCCCTCTCCCTTTCTCTCTCTTTCCCTCCCTCTTTTCCCTTTCTCTCTCTCTCTGTATCTCTCTCTTCTCTTCTGTTTCTCTTCCCCTCCTCTCTCTCTCTGTGTATCTCTCTCTTTGCCTCTCTCTCTTTTCTCTTCTCTCTCTCTCTTCCTCTCCCTCTTTCCCTTTCTCTCTCTCTCTTCTCTTCTCTCTCTGTCTCTCTCCCTTTCTCTCTCTCTGTCTCTCTCCCTTTCTCTCTGTCTCTCTCTTTCCCTCCCTCTTTCCCTTTCTGTCTCTCTGTATCTCTCTTCTCTTCTCTCTTTCTCTCTCTTCCCCTCTCCCTTTCTCTCTCTCTGTCTCTCTCTCTCGTTGGCTCTCTCTTCTCTTCTCTCTTTCTCTTCCCTTCCTCTCTCTCTCTGTGTTTCTCTCTCTTTGCCTCTCTCTCTTCTCTTCTCTCTCTGTCTCTCTTCCTCTCCCTCTTTCCCTTTCTCTCTCTCTCTTCTCTTCTCTCTTTCTCTCTCTTCCCCTCTCCCTTTCTCTCTCTCTTTCCCTCCCTCTTTTCCCTTTCTCTCTATATCTCTCTCTTCTCTCTGTTTCTCTTCCCCTCCTCTCTCTCTGTGTATCTCTCTCTTTGCCTCTATCTCTCTTCTCTTCTCTCTCTCTTACTCTCCCTCTTTTCCTTTCTCTCTCTCTCTTCTCTTCTCTCTTTCTCTCTCTTCCCCTCTCCCTTTCTCTCTCTCTCTTTGCCTCTCTCTCTCTCTTCTCTTCTCTGTTTCTCTTCCCTTCCTCTCTCTCTCTCTGTATCTCTCTCTTTGCCTCTCTCTCTCTTCTCTCTCTTCCTCTCCCTCTTTCCCTTTCTCTCTCTCTTCTCTTCTGTTTCTCTTCCCTTCCTCTCTCTATCTCTCTCTTTGCCTCTCTCTCTCTTATCTTCTCTCTCTTCCTCTCCCTCTTTCCCTTTCTCTCTCTCTCTTCTCTTTCTCTCTTCCCCTCTCCCTTTCTCTCTCTTTGTCTCTCTCTTTCCCTCCCTCTTTCCTTTTCTCTCTCTATCTCTCTCTTCTCTTCTTTCTCTCTCTTCCCCTCTCCCTTTCTCTCTCTCTGTCTTTCTCTCTCTTTGCCTCTCTCTCTTCTCTTCTCTGTTTCTCTTCCCTTCCTCTCTCTCTGTGTATCTCTCTCTTCTCTGTTTCTCTTCCCCTCCTCTCTCTCTCTGTGTATCTCTTTCTTTGCCTCTCTCTCTCTTCTCTTCTCTCTTCCTCTCCCTCTTTCCCTTTCTCTCTCTCTCTTCTCTTCTCTTTCTGTCTCTTCCCCTCTCCCTTTCTCTCTCTCTCTGTCTTTCCCTTTCTTTCTCTCTGTGTCTCTCTTCTCTTTCCCTTTCTTTCTCTCTGCGTCTCTCTCTTCTCTTCTCTCTTTCTCTCTCTTCCCCTCTCCCTTTCTCTCTGTCTCTCTCT